ACTGTTTCAATACACATTGTAGTGGTTTCTTGTTTAGTTTTCTTACTTTTTGTATTTGTCATTTCAGTTTTGACTTTTTTGTCAAATGGTCTCATTTTTAATGTATAACAAATGATCGATAAATTTTCAAAAAGATGGTTTTAGTGTTAAAATAGTTCGAGAAAGCATACTATTAAAAATTGTGCTATATTGTTGGTGGGTATAATTAAATCGTGGTATTACCAAATTTAAATCATTACATTATTTAACCAAGTGTTTTCGAAATAATAATAAACAACAAAAGAATCTTTATCTTTTAAATTAGATTTTAATATATTAAACTGATATTTTAAATCTGTATTTTTCACTAAAGGAAGTGTCATAAGTCTTCTTACTTCTTTGAAAAATTGCCCATTACACTTATATACCATTGAATTAGACAAACCAAACTAAATATATTAAAATCACATTTCATAACAAAGTTAATCTTTTGAAATTAATTTAATAAAATCAAAAATATAAAATAATAAGAATATAAGAGTTTTATTTTTAACTTTGTTTTTAGAAAGAAAAATTGTTATTGAACAATTATTCGAAACCCGAACAACTCAAAATTGAGATTCTTAATGATAGAACGACACGATATTTAAGCCGATAAATAACAGACAAAAAAACATATATCATGTCTCTCGACTGTCAAGTCATCACCCCACTACAAAAAATCATCTACAAACTCTGCGTGGAATAGTACACCACATCTGCTCAGAAGGAAGACGTGGTTTACTCTTCATATTCCATTTTTATCTGCTTTGCTATTTTGTACATCTGCTCTGACGCCAACACCAAGAAACAACTTGAAAGTGTTTTTGGGTATTCCTCAATTCCAAAGGAGAAATTTTTGAACACAATGGGACAGCTTGTTCATAAAAAGCCAAATCAAAAAACCTGTGTTGAAATTGTTAACGTTTTGGCCGACCCTAAGATTTCAAATTTAAATACAAATTTTTAGCGTCAGTCACTCAGATGAAGCGCCAAATGAAGAACGGCGACTTTAAAAAGGAATGCGGGGCTGTGAGACAGAAAATCAACACCTTTGTCCAAACAGCAACAAAGGACGTCATCAAAGACTTTATCCAACCAGGTGTTATTTCACCAGACACTGTCTCAGTCATTATCAACGCGATTTACTTCAAGGGAGAGTAAAACGAACCCTTCCTTATATTGCCCAATAAAATGATGTTTGAAGGAGCCGGGGAAGTAACTGCAATGGAAGTCGATGTTGACTTGTCGGCAAGTTTTGAGGATGACTACACAACATTGCCCGTCCGTTACAAGGGTTTCGAGCACAAATTGGTGTTTGTTATGCCACCCATTTAATATGATTTTTAAAACATTTATAACTTATCATTTGAAAAAAAAATCATATTTATTAAATATCATTGGAGTCAGTCTTTTAACGTTATCTGGTGGGCAAAAAATAGCTTTAATTTAGTCTAAAAATTGGGCATTAAGTAAAGCGTGAAAACCCCCAAAACAATTAAGATGGGTTTTTGAAACGGCTTCCTGAAATATTTCTATTATGGTCCAAAAGGTACCAGATAACGTTTGAGACCAGATATCGTTTAAAGACTAACTGTAACTAATTTTATATTTCAAAGTTTTTGTTGTAAAATCAGAAATCGTAGAAAAGGAAATTATTCTAAAAAAGCAATCTATACAATTTACTATAAATAATTCAAAAATTAACCAAATAAGTCCATCCCAGAAATTTTTTTCGTTCTCTATAACTGAAATTTTATAAAATGATTTTTAAATAAATTTGAAACTTATCATTTAAAAAAACATTTATAAAATATTATTAATTATTATTAATTAATTTTATTATAATATAATAAAATTAATGTGTATAAAAAATGACTTATTGAAAAAAATGATTTGAATAAATTTAATTTAAAAATACATTTTTAAAACTAATAAAACATATTAATTTAATAGTTTATTAAAACATATTTGTTTTATTGTCATTATATGAACTCATCTTTAAATATTATAAACCAATTATCACATAAAGATGTCAAGACAACTTGAACCATTTTATCTTTTGAATGTATTTCTTCATTTTTCAACAAAAGAAGACATCGTTATTTTTGTGTCCATCAACAAAACACCACGAACTGTTTCATATTCTGTTCATGTGAACACAACTTTTTCTTTTTTAAATAACATCATTTGGTTCATGAAACATTTCACACCATCAACAATAAACTTTAACTCGTTACATGTTAAAAATTGGAACAATATCAATTCAAAACTCAATGGAGTTAGTTTCTTCACAAACGTCATACTTGACACCAATTTTCCATTCAAACATTTAGACAAAGTTGAGGGCTGTTTAATTCCCAATTTTGATGACGTGTCTTCCATTTTCACATTTGAATTATTCAAACATTTGAAAACATTAGAAATTGATGATGAAATGTTTGTTAAGTTTTTTGAGTATTTTGTGACTCTTGACACCCCTTTTTGTGATTTTCCAAGGCGGATAATCCTTTCCGGTGATTTGTCTTTGAATGACTTTAATTATGAAATTAAAAACGATACATTTCATTTAAAATTGAAATTTGATAAGATAACAACAGGAATCCAATTGATGATCAATCAAGCAAAAAACAAATGTGATGTCACTATTTACACAGACAATTGTTATAAAATTAATAAATATAATAATGGAATAGATAACACCTTTTCCTCTGTTAGAGTCTTTAACGCTGTTACAAATTATCATGGAAATATAAAGAAAAACAATAGAAATACAACAACGAGAAATTATAATTTTTTCTTTATAAAAGACCCAAGCGATGAAGAAATTGAGCAACTCAATGAAATAATAAAAAAGACACTTCCAAGTTGTGTCTACATTTCAGAAATACAGAATTTTCATACCGAAAAGTTGAATGTTACTTAACTTAATTTAAAAGACACAAATTTTGCAAATTTTGTTTTTCCCAATTAAGAAGTTATTTTGGGAAAACATTTGCCACAGAAAGTTAAACTTATTGGAAAACAATTTAAGACGCAAAAAGGTACAATTTGTGAAAATGTTAGAGAAATTAATATTTTGGGCGACATTTTGTTTGACACATTACGAGAACAAATTCAAAGCGAACATAATATCAAAACGACACCATATGCTTTTAATTTTGCGGAGTGTGTTTCAATTAAAATTACATCACTGTCATGTTTCAAATATGATTTTACACAGAACCACAAATTAAAACGTGTTTTATTTCATAACGTCACAAAAATTGAAATGATTTTTTCAATGTTTTACGAGAAGTTTGAAGCAGACCCGACATCAAACGTGATGTTCATATTTTACTCGGAGGTATGCCAACACATTTTGTTAAAAACGCAGACAATGTATTATAAAGTAGGCTGGCAATTCGAAAAAGACAGAAATGGTTTTAGTTAACACTTTTGATGTGACAATCAATGCAAATAAAATTGGGAAATTGCAAATTGAAAACACCAAATTTGATGTCAAACAAAATGTCTTTTGCAAAATGTTGGTATTGAATAACATACAAAATGAAGATGCACAAATTTCACCATCACAGTTTGACACAAATGTTGTAAATTACAATTTCAAAGAGAAGCAAATTAATCAATGTCAAAGTGCAGTGTATAAAATAGTTGATTTTGTTTTGAAAACATCCAAAGAAAACTAATGCAATGAAATTGCAGTGATTGAAGAACGCAGAACTTTAGGTTATGTGAATAGAATAATTTTTACACCAACGTCTCTGACAAACGCAATATGTGTAAGTGATGAGTCTCAAATTTCTTTATTTAATGTTGGAGAATTTAAATGCACTTTTCGATGTAGTCGCAGCTTTTTCAATATGAAAATAGACAACTCAAGAGAAAAGTTGATATACACAACAACTAAAACTTAAACCATTGTTGTTTCGAACAACAATTTGGAATTATATCAAACAACTTCCACGTTTAAAAAATATAAATTTGTTGACAATTCTCAATGTGTAAATAACGCGACTGTTGTGGAGACGTTTCCAAGCGACAATAATTTGATATTGGTTGCAAACAATTGTGGAAATTTGAGTGTTTTTCAAGCTACACTTCGTTTTACACCAGTAACCAGTCCCATCAATTTCGGCGCAAAATGGTGAAAGTAATTTTTGTGAAAGCAGAGCTTCAAGAAAATAAAAGGTTTTTTGTTGTATGTGAAAATGTAAAAGTCATTGAAATGATGTACAACATAACAGATGCATTAAATTGAAAAGGTAAAAAATCTTTGTGAAGTGAATTGTGGTCTTGTGAATGATGCACTTTATAATAAAGATGATAATCTGTTGTATTTAATCAGTCAGACTGGCATCGAACTAATTTCGATCAAAAGCAACGAAAAAACTTTTATTTAATTGGATAATATAATTTCGTCGTTTGTTGTTCATGATTGTAGTATTGTTGTCATTACAACAAATAGGAAAATGTTTTTCGTTAATCAAAACACAATTCAAGAAATTCAATTGGAAGCAGTTTCAAGACACAAAGTGACTTGTGTGACTTGTGACAAAGATGATGAATTACTGTTCAGAACTTCGGTAATTTAATTTTAGATTAAATATATTTTTAAGCTGTTAACTAAATTACAGAAATTGTGTTATAACATTGTCAAATGTAAAAAAATATATTTGATGTGAACAAAATTTTTTTTAAATACTTAATCATACAAAAAGTTTTATTAACACTTTAAAATAAACCGAATTATATTTAAGTGGTTTTAAAAAAGAGAAATCTTGAGTTAATAAAACACAATTTTTAAAGGTTTACAATGTGTATTACAACACATATTCAAAATGGAAAAACATCATTTTTTAATAAATATTATGGTATAATATATCAAATTAAACAACATCATATATTTTAAGTGTTAATCAAAACGTATATTTTAAGTTGTTATATTTTTCAAAATAAAAATCATTTCATTTTGATTTAAATCATAATAAATAGCACCACTTATATTTATTTTGTTTGTTTCTTTCAATTTCCTCAAGTGGTGTGAGTAATCCACTGTTCTTAAATTCCTTTACAATAGTATTAAACATTTCATCGACACCCTTTCCTGTTTTGGAAGATGTTTCAAAATAAAGACAACCCCACTCTTCTGCAACTTTGATTCCTTCTTCTGTTGACACCACTCGTTCACTTTCCAAGTCACATTTCGTAGCACATAGTACAAGAAGAATTTTTGTTCCGTTTTTTATGTTTATTTTTTCATATATAAAATTTCGATAACGAGAAACAGCTTTGAAAGATTCTCTGTTGTTTATAGCATATGCAATAATAAAGTAGCTGCTGATGGACATTCGATATTCGGACATTTCAATCATTTGGTCTGTGGCGTGATAACTATCAATATCAAAATCAAAATCTTCGTTATTTATTGTCACCATTCTATGATTTCCATCATCAATACAAAGATCCATTTTTATAATGTATAATCCTCGTGTTAATCGCCAAATAAGCTTTTGGCGACCAACAAAAACATCCCCCAAAATTGTGCCATAAATAGTTCGGATATGAACATTGGAATTACTCATTGATATTTTAAGTTTTCTGTTTAAAAATCATTTTCTTTTTAACATATTATTTGAATTTGTTTTAGTACTGTTAAAAAAACTCAAAATGTGTGTTTTATCTTAAAAAGATTAAAAACTAATTGGTAAAAGAAAAAGTTTTTTGTAAGTCTTTTACTTCAAAATGTAATGTTTTGGTCTAACACACAGCTGTGTAAAAATTCTAAAGTCGATATTATAACAATATACTAATTTCTTATTTAACTTAAAACGACGTTGTGATAATTCTATGTTTTATATACACCACATCCAATTATATTTACTTAGTTGACCAAATTCACGTTGTAATCGAATTCACTATAATCAATTTTATGATTAATTTTATACAAATGTGCCGAATAAATGCACACATTTTTTTAAACATAACACCAAAAGATTAAATTTTAATTTCATAAAAAATATTATAATTTAAATAAGAAAATTATTATCATTCAATACTTTTTTGTTGTCACTATAAAAGCTCGATTATAAAAAAATTAAAAATAAAACAATAAATTGAATCATATAATGAGCGAAAGTTATTTTAACCACAACTGACATTAAGTTTATCAAACATGCATATAATTTATTAAATTCTTGTTTCATTCTAATAATTCATTATAAAATTCATGTTACTAAAGTTAAAATGTAATTTGTAGTTTGGCGTGAGACTGAAATATTGATCAAATTTCGTTTCATCAGATTAATCTATGTATATGTCACAAGAAAGTGTTTTAAAAACTTCATTAATTTTCTCAAACATTTCAGAAGTTTCGTCTCGATCTTCCAAATATGCCGTGTAACTCCTAAATAGTTGGAAGTACAAAAACATCATTTTAAACAATTTGAGTTGAGCTTTATTGTCGACAGATTCTTTTATATTCAAAAGTGAGTTGTAAAATGTTCGGACTGTCATTTTGACTTTGGTAACATTGGAGTCGACTACAATTTTAAATATTTGTGAAAATATTTCTGGATTAATTTCAACGCTTTCCATCAAAATGAATATGATAAATTTATTACAAAATTTTAATGTTATCCAATCACTCATTTCCTCATATGATACTTATTTATTTTTTATGAAAATGGCTTTATTCAAAATTTCTTTTGAAATATTAAACGGATTGCAGTTGATGGTGTCAGTCGTGTGAATGTTACAAAATTTTTCAATGTTCTCTTTTGCAGTAAACCATGGATTTACTTTTAAACAAGAAATTGATTCACAAGCTTTGTGATTCACTTGAACAAAGTTTGCAACGTCTATCATCGTTGGAAGATGGAGGGAGACTTGTGCTAAATAAAACATTTCAAGGTGTTGCATTTTGTATTTAAATAAAATGAGTTTGTTTATATATCAAATAAAAATCATTTGCTCTTGTTATTTCGAAGAAATATAATCAAATTTAAAATATTATATTATCGAATTATTAACATATTTATTAGACATAACTATTTACATTATTCAATTAAAGTCATTCTTTAAACCTTGTTTTTTGTCCTGCATTGTCCCCAATTTTAGATATTAATTACTAAATATATCGGGAAATTTTATGAAACAAAATAATTATTGTTTCAGTTTTTTTACCGTTTTTAAAGATTTATAACCCAATTCCCAATTTTTTTAAATTTTTTTGAAAAAGATATAGAACAGTCGTCGAAAAGAAACCCAATAAACAATTCTTTTCAAAAATATATTTCAGATCAGCTCTTTTATAACATCCGGCAATGATAATTTAATATATATGATGGAAGATAATGAAAGTTCAATAAGTTAACGCAAAAAGTTAGTTTGGGTTGATAAGAAGTATTCACACGTTAAGAAAAAATTAACATAATGCAAAAAGCATTTTAAATTAGAAAATGGGTAAAATTCATATGTTAATTTGTTGAATTGTCGGACTCTTTTTTGTGTTTTTTCTGGTTTAGAATTTCTGGTGCTATGTAAATCGGTGTTCAAACACCCTTTGTGAATGTCACATTGGTTATCGGCACGTTGATTGTTTCATCACCACTTTCAATTGACTTTGTAACAAGTGCTTTTGTTGTGTTTATCTTTGTTGTGTAATTCAATGTCAAAAACAGTTCAAAATTTGATTCACACCCTTTATGGAGCGTCACAACACTCGAAATGATCCGAAGTGAAAACAGTTTATCACATGCTTCCATAGACTTCTGCACCTTCATCCAACGTTCACTTGAATTGCTAACAAATAAGAAGTGTTGCGTCTCTTCACAATTTGATTTCTTCAATGTAAATATTACAATCAACTATTATTGTGTTCACAACGACACCACCACGAAGACTCACACATTTCACATTCGTTTTATATTAAAAGTGGTAACTTTTGCCTCCAATGATTTCATTGAAGATCTTTTGACACAATACCGAACAAAAAATAACCAATTCAACAACCGGTGTGATGACTAAAACAAGTGATGAATTAAAAAATACCCACCGCACTGGGTTCGAGTTGGAATATTATTTACTTATTATACAACAAAATATGTAATATATTGATAATACTTTAATTATAATTCGTAAAATCTTAAAACCTACAGATAAACACTTCATTGAACTTCTTATTGTATTTTTATCGTAAAACCTGTATTTTTAACCCCCCACAAAACGGGATAATTTCAATAATATTTATTTCGAACAATTCGTAAAAATAGAAAAACCGTAAATGGTATAAAAAGAATGGGAACGAGAAAAAACATCAAATGAGTTGCTTGAATATAAACACTGAGTTGTGCAGAGGATGCGGTATGTGTGCACGTGACTGCATAGCACAATGTCTCAAAGTGGAAAACCACAAGATCATGATTGTGGAAGAAGAAGCTTCAAACTGCTTTAAATGTGGGCACTGTTCTTCAATTTGTAAAAGCAAAGCAATCACTCTCTTTGAAAAACCACTTGAAAACGTTCCAGAAGGACACAAAGATTTCATAGATGCTATTAAAACAAGAAGATAAACAAGATCTTTTAAAGGCCCAATCCCCAAAGAAGAGTTGACTGAACTTATCAATCTGACAAGATTCTCCCCTTCCGCCAAGAATTGGAGACCAATCAAATATCTTGTAATAAATGAGCCAAAGCTAACAGATGTAATTAAAAAATTAAATGAAGTAGCAGTACAGATTCCAGAAATTGTTAATATCTTTGGTAACTTTTTTGAGTGTCGATTTGATCGTCAGAAAGGCTCCACATGTTGTTATTGCTAACGTCGACGACGCTCAAAACGTTTGGGCAAATGACGATGGAACTATTGCTTTAACCCAACTTGAACTTGCAGCAACCAACAAAGGGTATGGCTCTCTTTGGTGTGGCTTGTTAAAGTTCATGTTTTCGTTCAATGAGTGTCTTGATATTGTTGGACTGAAAGGAAAGAAAGTGGTTGGGTGTTTAGCTATGGGTGTTCCTTTATATTACTACACCAGTCAAGTACCACGAGAGGATGTCCCTATCATCTTTTTGGAGTAAGTAGAGTGCTTCTTTAATTTCTGAGTCAAATTTTAATAGTATAATAACTATAATTTTATTAAATAGATAACAAACAAATAATTATAAAAAAATAAAAAAAAAATTGATATTTAATATGAAATTTTTTATTTAAAAAACTTAAACATCTTAATGATTATAGTACTTATTTATTATTAAATTATAATTATTAACTACAATAAAAAATAGAAATAATAAATTAAAATTATGCTAATTATTTTATAGTTTTTTTATTATTTTAATATTATATATAGAAATATTTTCTCAAAAAATGAAAAATAAAGTCAAATAATAAACAGAAAGTTAAAATGATGGAAAGCATGAAAAGACAAACAAGAATGAGTGAAAAAGGCAAAAGGCGATTTATAAGGGAGCGTCTAATAATCAAAACACAATGGACTCAATCATCGAAGAAGAATATCAATACCCATTCGAGCTTCTTATTGCTATCCAAATGAACTTTGGAAAGAAAATTCCTCTTCAAATCATCAGAGACACACTTACAAGAAACAACAACGATCCTTTTATTTCACTCAAAGAAATAAATATGTCTTTGTCTAAAATTCAACAGAGAAAAGTTGCTGTTTTTGAGAAATAAATTGATCGGTTTTTTCACATCCTTTTTTAAAAAACAGTAGTTTATGTATAATATGTTTATTAATATTTTAACTATTATATATTTAATTGTTTTAATTAAAACAACTATTAGCAATTCAAACAGTTCAAATACATAATAAATTGTTTTTATAATATAAAAAACTAATATGGTTGTTTCTTTTGTTCATTAAAACTAAGACCAGAAGATCCATTCTATTACCTTTAAAAGATTCCAGAAATAGAAGTCTTATCCGACATAATGGGCCTCTAAATTTATATTGATTATCATTGCGATTATCTTCCACCATTTACCGTTTTTTTTCAAATAAATATGTAAATGTGTCTTTTTTTATCAATTTACTTTTGATTGACATTAATAACTCAACGTTTAAAGAAAGGACAATGTTAAAAGACTGACTCTATAATAAAAAAATCTAGTCTGATTTCATATTGACGATATTCCAAAAATACAACAAGGAATTTACTATATCTGTTTTTTATATTATAATATATAGTATCGACCATCGCTAATTGAAAACCATAAATACATAGTAAATTTCTTATTAAATATTACCATTTAACATCGTCAAAAAAACGCAGGTTGTCAATCGTTCTTTTTGCTTTTCAAATCAATTGGTATGACGTATTAACCACACCACAACAATGACACTTATTTGGTTTACTATCGTAAATGGCGGGTTGTGTTAATATTACTTGGAGATATGCCTGAGGAGGAATTACAAACTCCACATTTCTTGCTTTCTTTTTTGGATGTTTAATTTGGTTCAAAAGTAAAATATTTTAAAAATAAAACAAAAAAAAACTATTTATTATAATTAAAAAACTATATTTACTGTTAGTTTTCTCCATCGTTAATTAAAAAACCGACTTTATTTAATTTTTTGAACTTAATATAAAATAATTATATAACGAATATTTGATTTACTAAATTAAACTAATAAAAAAGTCTATGGTAACTTTAGATTCATTTCACATAATGATTGTCTCAAAATACTTTATGTTTTTTTCCGACTTTGTCAATTTAGAAATAGTTTGCAAGAAGTTTAAAGGGAATATGGAAAAGTTCCATTTTAACCCAATTCCACTGACGAACAAAACAATAAAACATTTCCCATCCATTGAAACTCTCAATTTATGGAGCGAAAAAGATGAGACATTTGGAAATCACATCAAAAGTATAATGCCTAAAAAGATGGTCTTTTCTGAAATATTAAAGTCGTTTTACCGTGTTAGAGTTTTCTATCCAATTACATACCAAGACTACTTGTTAAACATTAAAGGCGTGTTTATGTTCTTCAATGTTTGTTACACACAAGACAACAAAAACAGTTTTGGTAAAGTAATACCACAAAGTGTTACTTCACTTAACATCAACTGCTATTACAACGACAATACTTTGAAATCAATAGACATCCCAAATCAAGTCTCTTTTATTGGAGGAAGTTGTTTTTATAGTTGCCAAAACCTTGTAAGAGTGGTGTTACCAAACAATCTTCGAGTGTTGCAACCGTATACATTTTGTCAATGCAACTCTCTTATTGATATCAATATTCCAAATAGAGTCGTTTCAATTGGAAATAGCTGCTTCTACAATTGTAAGAAACTTGAAAGTGTAACATTGGGTAACTGTGTTACCAGTGTTGGTCAACAATGTTTTTATTGTTGCAAAAATTTAACAAAAATCAACACCAACAACAGTATTGTGGAAATAGGGTTTGAAGCGTTCAAATATTGCGATAAACTGGAGATTAATAAAATGCTAAAATGAGTTATTAATGTTATACATTTTCACCAATAATCAATATTATTAAAATTGATAACTAAATTAGACAATATACTATAGTCTGTCTTAAAACGTTGTCTGCTTGTAAAACTTTGTCCATTTGACAAAAATTTACACAAAGTAAGTTTAAAAATTTTAGAATTAAAAAAATGTTGAAAAGCCAGTAAAAATTATGAAACGATGTGTGAGTGTTTAGAACTGTTTCCCGAAATATTCCAGTTCTAATGGTCTAAAAACTCCTGTTCAACTTTGGAGAGCGGACAACGTTTTCAGACTGACTATATTCATGTTTTTTAAAAAAAAGATGTCAAGATTCAAACCAACTATTTTTATTTTATTCTGAGTTTATAAACATTTGTAAAAGAACAAATACAAAATGCAACAACTTGATGGGTATCATATCATGATTGTTTTAAAGTACTTTTCGACAATTTTGACTTCATCAAATTGCAATTTGTATGTAAAAAGTTTAACAACAACATGGAGAAGTTCCATTACAATCCTGTAACATTAACAAACAAAACTGTCAGCTATTTTCCACATCTTGAGACTTTACACCCATATAGTAGATGCAGCCAGACATTTGGTAAAAAATACATATATTTAAAAAGATGGGACAAACCGCTTCTTTCTGAAGTGAAACGATCTTTTTATAAAACAGTCGTCTGGTTTCGAGTACCTTATGAAAATACACTTGATCCGGCATACGCCACTTTTGACTTTAAAAATGTGAGTTGTACTCCTTTAACAATGCAGATATGTAATGGAGAAATTCCTCCCATTGTGAATTCCTTAAAAAAGGAATGTTTTGTTAACAACACCAAAACTGGGGTTTTAAAATTCCAAACCACATAACATCTCTTGGGAAAGAGTGTTTTTACAGCAGTAAAGCAACTTCTTTTTCACTTTCCACAACACTTAAAAAGATCAAAGACGATTGTTTCTCATTGTGTTCATTGACTTCGATATCAATTCCCGACAGTGTCATTACTATAGGAAATTCGTGTTTTTATATGTGTTCAAATCTAGTTAACGTCACTCTTCCCGAGAGTTTATATCAACTTGGCGACTATTTTTTTAATTATGCAATTCATTGAAAACTGTAGAAATACCACCCGGTGTGTCTGTGTTACGTTACAATTGTTTTGAACACTGTTTTTCACTTTCATCTATTAATATACCAAATGGGGTATTATCTATTGAAAAATCGTGTTTTAGTTATTGCACTTCACTTAGTCAAATTTCACTTCCAAATACAGTTAACAACATTGGTGGTGGGTGTTTCAAAGGATGTTCTTCTTTGACTTCAGTAGAACTTCCCCTGTTAATTGCATCACTCGATAGTGAAGTATTCCAAAATTGTGATAATTTACGATACATTCATATACCAGGAAATGTGAAAGTAGTTAAAAAACATTGCTTTAATTGTTGTTATAATTTAAGTCAAATTGAATTTTGTCACTCAATTACTGCGTTTGAAAAATACTGTTTTAATGGCTGCAGTTCTTTAACGGAATTGGAACTGCCCAAAACTGTTATTCGAATTTCAAATAATATGTTTGCACACTGCTTAAATATCAAAAATGTCATATTAAGTGATAATATTGTAGAAATACCAAATTATTGTTTTAATCAGTGTTCTTCACTTGTAGAAATACACATTCCTACTAAATGTGAAAAAGTTGGAGAATATTCCTTTTCATTGTGTAATTCGTTACAACATGTCAGTATCCCAGACAGTGTCACTTCTATTGGAAATTATTGTTTTTATAATTGTGATGAATTAAAATCTGTAATATTGCCTTGCAAGACTTTGAAACTTGAGCAGAATTGTTTTGAATTATGTAGTAAACTTAATAATGTCCAAAATTTGAATAAAATTGGTTATTTTGATAAAAATGCATTTGTGGGATGCTACTCTTTTGATATAAGTCTATATACCAAACAAAAAAAGGCTGAAAAAGGATGTTCAGATAAACAGAAAAAGGGAAAGAAAGGGGAGAATACATCTAAAAAAGAAAATAAAAAACACAAAAAGTGATTTACTCATGGTTTACCAAAGACAAACAATAAACAGTAGAATTAATTTTTTTTATCATTTGCCATTTCAGAAGTAACAAAAATAATTTAAAAAAGAAAGGATGGTAAAATACTCATCTTTTAATACTTTAAATATCCAATTGAAAAATCAACAATTGAATGTTATTTTATTTAAATTATTTGAAATATGCACATTGTTCAGAATTTACTGCATACACATGTATCATTTATCTGTTATTGTACACATCAATTCAAATTTATCTATAAGTAACAATCGTGTGAGATTATATTTATTAATATTGGTTAGTTTGTAATAATGTTCTTTGTGATTTTCAAAATTTCTGCTTTTATAGTGCCAATTACAAATGAATATTTATATATTTTTTACAAATACCAAAATATATTTTTTGCTTTAAATTATTTTTATATACAATGCCAATAATGGGTGTGCGTATTTAAAAAAGAATCAGGGCAGAAGTAGTAAAAATTATGAAGCTTCTGTTTTTTTCTAAATTCGAAGAAAATGTTATTGTTTTTTTGTTTTATAAAACACAAAATTTATTATTGTTTTTAATAACACAAAAATTTTTAATAACACTTTGTAAAAATAGCAAATCCAATTATACATTAAATCTAATTAATATTTTCAAGTTCCAAAAAAATCAATAGCTTTTCTTCTTTAGCTTTTCTAAAAAGTGAGTAAACGGTTTCTAATCCACAAAACAAAACAAACCTAGCAGTGAGGTTTTTTCTCTGTTTTATAATTTGTTTTTTTTTCTCTTTCCAGTTTGTAAATAAATAAATGGTTTTTAATTTTAGTAAATTTAATTTTAAAAACTATTCAAGAAAAAATAAATTATAATTTAGTTTTTTCATCATTTCTGGAATCCATATGTTCAAGAATTCATCGTTATTGAACGGCTTATATTCAATATTGTTGTTGCGGTATTTTTCGATTGATTCCATTACTCCATTTCCACAATCAAAACTAATTGGTTGAATTGGAACTTGAATTATTTTAACATTATTTATTTTGAATTCAAATTTCAAAAAACTGATAAATCCTTTTTAAATAACATTATCATCAAATC